CAACTTAAATCTAAACTGTCAGGAAAAGTTAAATAAAATGTGCCACATCTCAAATGGCTTTAACCTTGCTAGCCGAAATTGCTCACAGAAGCTGAAAACGTGAACTAAAGCTTGCAGGCACATTTTGTTTTATAAATCTCATGTTTTAGTACGTTACTTTATTTCTGTCATTCTCGCAAGATGAGGAGACTGTTTCTGTTATTGCACAGGTTTTGTAAATGTTAGGCTGACAAACTAAAGAAAAGGTTTATTTTAAACTTTCTGCTGCGTTGGAGTTACTTTACTAAGAGATTAAGAAGAGGGTATAAGTCATCTGACTGTCTTTACGGATGCAGAGATTATATCAGAGCTTAAGTTCCATAAAATCTTGCCAACAATGATACTTAGTTCTTGCGCTTTTCTTTTATACAAATATTAATTTAGAAGTCAATAGCAACAAAAGTCAGCGTTCTATTTGCAAATTTTTACAGGGCTAGTTTCGATGGTTTTACCGAACCATCATCCTCAGCTGCCAAAGAGCAAATGTACAAGACAAGATAAGAATCTCTGGACAGGAGTTAAGCTACTGGCACCATCTATTGATGAAGCAAGAAAACTAAAGCGTAATTTCCTTAAAAGGTGAAGGTAAAGATAGACTGGAATAAGGGTCGTTAACTCAAACAGAGATATTTTTTAAAAGTGAAACGCCTTTAGAAAATCTAATTCACTAATGGTAGATGCTTTTTGAATAATTTTGGCTGCAGAAAAATGGAAAGTGTGATTTTCGGACTAACAATGCTGGGCAACAGAGGACGTCTGTGTTTCCTTTTCCCAACATATGCCTCATTAAGACACAATAACACGCCGAACAAATACTAATTCAAGTCAAACACAAAAATCAGCGTTATATTTTCAAATTTCAAAGACTAGTTTCGATTTTTTACCGAATCACCATCCTCAGCTGCAAAAACGCAAATGAACGAGATAGGATAAAAGGATCATATAAGATGATAATGATCTCGTTCATTAGCGGTTTTGCAGCTGAGGATGGTGGTTCGGTAAAACCATCGAAACTAGTCCTGTGAAAATTTGAAAACATAACGCTGATTTTTGTTGTTTGACTTCTGAATATGCCTCATGTTCTTTAACGCAAAATTTTAAGGATGTCTTAGTTTGACCTATGTAAATTAAACCACATTGGAAAGGAATCCTGGAAATATCCCAGAAATTCATATCCGGAATGGGGTTCTTAAGTATGGAACCCGGAATTTTATTTATACGAGAATAAATGATCCGAAAGTTAAATTTCGTAAAATACGAGCAATTTCATAGCTAATTTATTAAAACAAAGGAATAACAGCAGAATTCTTATAATCTCCTAAAACAAGAGTGTGCCTTTTGGTGTGTTGATACGAGAATTTTTTAACTGCTTGGTCAATATTGCTGGGTGAAGAGCCCCTACTAATAGCTACTGCTTTTCAATAATTTAGTTCTTGATCGAGAGGCAGTTTGGAGGAGGAAACCTGAAGTGCACGGAAAACAAAGAAATAAAATGAAGCTAACTTTTGTTTAGTCGGATGACATGATTTGAATTGTGGTGGAAGGCAAACCGATGAAGGTTTACGATGAACGGTAGTACCGAAGTTGGATGTGTTACGTGTGACCAAAATATCGAGGAAAGGAAGAGAATTGCATTTCTCAAGTTCAAAAGTGAACTGAATAGCAGGATCAGTGGAATTCATTACTGAAAGAACTCTATTTAAGTCATCTTTGTTACCGTCAAACAGGGTAAAAATATCGTGTACGTAGCGGAACCATACCGGGAAGTTTTAAGTTTTAAATAATTTTGATTCATAATAATGCATATAGATATCAGCCAGGAAGGGACTAAGAGGACTTCCCATGACATAGGTTATACAAATTTTAGACGTTTGCATAAAAGATTTAAATAACTTTATAAGGTATTTCTCCCACTTTCCTAGCGTCCTTTGTGGTGTAGTGGTTCTGCACGCTAGGCCGGTATTCCAGAGGTCCGTGTTTTGATTCTCGGCGAAGGCGGTTGTTAATTTTTCATCTCTCTGGCTTCCAAAAAATACCTAATGTCTCTACAGTGGCGCTAGAACTAAAAAGGTTGTGGATGATGATTCTCCGCACCAGGCGACTAGGTCCCCTAAAACCCTAGTCGCCCTTTAAAAAGGGGAGTAGATAAGGTATTTCTCCCACTTTCCTAGCGTCCTTCGTGGTGTAGTGTTTCTACACGCTGGGCCGGTATTCCAGAGGTCCGTGGTTCGATTCCCGGCGAAGGCGGTTGTTAATTTTTCATCTCTCTGGCTTCCAAAAAATACCTAATATCTCTACAACTTCAGTTCTTAATTTGAAGTAACGCTTAGAGAAGATCATTCATTCTCAGGGATTTGCTCACTGTTAGAGATTTCTCGGATTGATCTATCATAGTCTGCAAGTTTATAGAATTTAGTTTACAATAGCTGGAAATAGATTATTTCCGGGTATCTATTTGATTTGGATTTTGAACTTTAATTACTAGCAGCTTCAGTTTAGCAGTTTGTTGTTCGCATCAAACTTGTCAGTTCAAATTCTGTCGCATCAAATTCTGCTGCGTTATATTTGTTTTGCATTTGAAAAACTTCAGTTAACGGCAGGAGAGAATATACGTAGGAATACAAGAACCAGGATTTCATGGTTATACAGTTACAGTCTTCCGACTTTACGCACTAGATAAACTATTTGTAAACATGAAAGTTGTGGATTTTAAGGAAATTCTGAGTTTACATAACAACATAACAATACTGTATATTACAATACCACATGTGTAAATATGTGATACGATTGATGATATATGCATTTAACTATTCACATCAGTCCAAAGAGCGTTATGTGAAGTAACTGTATCGATATGTTTAAAATGTTTGCAGTCAGAAGCTGTTTTTACTAAATTTTGCGGTGTCATTTGTTGTTACTAAGTGTGTTCGTCTATAAATCGTTGAACTGGCGATAATTTGGTTACAGTCGAAAACATTGCGGACGAAAATGTCGCGGAGGAAACTACACAAGGCGAAATCATCGTGGGAGAAAAGAAAGCAAAGAGAAAACATTGCAGTTCTAAAATATCTTGGTAGAAAATGAAGTGGTTTAAGCACTTCGCGGTTTAAAACCATCATCGTCAAAAATATCGTGGTAAAAAATAAAGTAACCACAAATTATCTCATTGCGATAACATCACACTCATGCATTTTTCAAATCCCATACTGACATATTATGTAACTGACTTTTGTCATAACTAACAAATCGACATCCAAAAAATTGATTGCACGCCATACATGAAACTCTTATTTTCGCTCACGATATTTTGTAGCACAATGCGATGTTTTCTCTTTTCTTTCTTTTCTCCCATGATGTTTTTGTATCACGACGTTTTCTCCTTGCGTTGTTTTCTTCGCAAGGTTTTCGCCTGCGATGTTTTTGCCGCGATGTTTTCGGCGGACACCGATAATTTGCAGCTAGGCGGTGCGTGGCCGTTAAATTTTAGCTTAGTACTGGAACTTCCAGTGTAAGATACAGTTTCAGCCAATTAAAACAATTATTTTTTTTAATTTAAAGCAAGTTATAAATTTATCTGCGTCAAGTGAAAGAATAGGATGAACCAAAGATTATGCTGCAAGCAATTATAAAGGAGGAAATGTACAAGACACAGTCTTGTACAACTTGAAAGCAATTCTTAAAAACCACATGACTTCCTTGTACGGAATATGAAATTATACGCATTTTTTCTTCCATTTCATATAAGCTTGATTGAATTAAATCTACTTCGTCGATAGCACATAAACCACAATAGAATAAATACACTCTTTAAAATTCACAATATTTGTTTACCATAGTGACATTCTGGCGTTAAGTTCTCTTAATAGCTTTACATTTCATTCCTTTTATAACTTCAACTTATATCACCGCGATGACAAAAATGTAATTTTGCCGGCTCAGTGAGAATGAAGCCTAAAAGTCGCATGGCGATAAGAACTTCCTGGCATGGTAATTTCTCTAAGCAGAAGCGGAGGCAACGAGAATAGAGAATGGATTAAACATGATTTAATTCGCCATAATAAAAGAAGGCGTTGTCTTCGTTGTTGCGAAGCTTAGTTTCTCTAGATTGTCAACAAACCACTATTCTGCCAAGTTTCAAATGTAAATAAACATGGCAGCCATGGCCAAAATAATTAGGCTTATCCTCACTTAAACAACTTTTAAACTGTTGATAATTCTACAAATATTGCATGTAGATTTACTAAAGGCATAAAAACCTTAACCGGAAGATACGAACAACATAATTTAATCATTTTAAAGCAAAAAATGCACAATTTACAAACATATAAGAATAAAGAAACTGAGATCACTGGCTCATCACTGTATAAAGTCGTATAGGACGCACACTACATTGAAGCAGTGGTTCCGAACACTGAAGTGTGCAATACGTCAGTGTGCAATACGTGCATGCGTCCTATACGGCAGAAACAGAATGGATATATATATAACATATATTTATATACTTTTGGTACGGCCGATTGGAACCAAAATACGAGGTGCACATCTACATGTAATAATAGTCCTAGATACAAAATTTCAACGTTCAGATGCTACTTGTTTTTGAGTTATGGGAGATACGTAAGTACGTACGCACAGATGCCACGAAAAATTCTCTTCAGAATTCATTTTAAATCAGATTTATAATTTTTGTTGGGGGAAGAGAGTCCTTTATTCTGTCCTTACTTACAGATATCACGCAAAAAATCGTTAAATTGCATTCGATAGCGGTAAAAATGGATATTTTCATTGAAATATGATGCCTGAAACTTTTCGCGATTACTATACTTCCTTTTCACTTCGTACAAGAAAGTAAAAAAAGTATTAGTTACTATGTCACTAAGATTGATTAAATAATATTTATTCAATAAATCAATGTAAATTGTAAAATCAGATGTATGAAAATAGAAAATTATTATACTGACCTTCTGCTGATATTAAGCAAAATAAATTCAGAGCAAAAGCAATACTAAGTAAAGAAACATCGATTTTTTCTTTACTCCTCTTCGATCTTCTACCGAACTTCATCTTCTAGTAAATTGATCTGAAAATAATACACACGAAAAGTAATCAGATTAAAAATAGAGAGGTAAAATGAAAATACCCCGTTAAAAATGTCAGAAAATGTCATCTGATTTTGAAAAGGGCCTTTCAGCAGAGGCGGGTTATGCGACTGTGGGCCTAGCGGCCTCCAAGGGGACCTAGCGACCGCCAAGGAACGAGCGGCCTGCGAAAACATAGCGGTTTGGAAATATAAGGTTTCCTTTTTTTTTTAATTAAAGAACGATAATCAAACAGAATTGTTTATTACAGTTACCTAAGTAAAATAATATATTCATAAATCCATTTTACTTAAAAGTAACATGTTGAAAAAGATAGTGACATCTTGAATTTTATCGCATTTTGCTATCTACTTATTTTTTCGTATTCTTAGAAATTATGCGCTGAAACTTTCCAAAAACAACCACCTTTAGTTTTAAGGAATTTTGTGATCTCATAGAGGTGAGTGGCGTAGAGAAAATGGCCAACATTCGTATGTTTAATCTGTTCGCTTTCCATAAAAATACTGATTAGTTTCAGCTATTACGGAAGTAGCCACTGTGAAAGGTTTTTGTTGACAATTGTCTATGAGCTATCAAGCAGTAAGCGATCTTCCCTCATTTTTTAAACTAAATTTGATGGCACTGTAATCAAAATTCGTCAATGACTGTTGCTAATCATACTGCTGCCGTATTAATAACGTTTGCACACTTCAGTGTTCGGAACCGCTGCTTCAATGTAGTGTGCGTCCTATACGGCTTTATACAGATTTTCTTTTTGTGACAATAGTTATAACCGCTTCGCATTTGTTAAATTGAGAATATAAGCATTTATAATAATGTCTGGTTATTTTTTGTGAATGAAATGACATTTCAGTTTAATTACAATTAAAAAAATTACCATACTATAGATAATATCATTACAATTTCAAAATTATCATATTTTGCAAGAAAATAAATACGTCTTAGTTCTCCAACGTATACATTTTTTTCAATTTAGCTTCGTTAATAAGACTAAAAAATTCTTCCGGGTATTAATATTTTTATTATGAATAAAATCCAATCCGGAATAAAAAAAATCTATCGACTAGTTATGCCTCATACCATTTTTCACGTATTTTTCGTATTACAATAGCGTAAACCTTGCCAATGTGACATATATAAAAACAATATTTTTTTCCTTAATAATATTTTGCAACAAATTTATCAAAAATTTATACTATTAGTATAGTTAACAAACGATGCTTCCGAAGGGATATATTGTGTGCATTTGCTACAAATTTCTGCTCTGAATGTACACTATCACTTCCATAAAAAATAAAACGAAAGATAACTACAAAATTCTTTAACAACTCATCGTTGTTTATATCAGTATTTCCTAAATAAATTTATTTGCGAACCATTTTATGGTTTGAGTAACATACGGAAACTCTTTCAGTGCTTTTAATACAGGATATAAAAGTGCATTCATTGTAGTGGAGAAATTCTTGTGGTTCTAGGTCAATATATATGTCAACTGAAAGTTTAATTCCCAGAGAAAAATTCAACCATTTTATCTTTTTTTCATGCAGCAGACATAAATACAGTCGACTTCTGTATGAAATTAAATGACATTGTTTCAATCATATTAAATTATAATGTTGGTTTTAGATCCTTGTTTTCCTGTAGTGTTAAAAAATAGAAAAAAAAATACTAGCATATATTTTAAGAAGCTTAGTGTTCTCACATTTTGTGCTATTTGATAAGATTCTAATCAATCACTTCCGTCGGTCGTTTAGTAGTGCTTGACAAGAGTGCTAATTGTATGGTCGAAATATAAAATGTTCTAGTTTTGAATATAAAAGAATTTTAGTACACATGGCAGTCATACAGTAAACCCAAACTGTACTGTAATATTGTTCCACCCACCAGATAAGAAAATAACTGTTCATATGTCTATTTTAATGTATAAAAATGTTTTAATCCTCTGAAATCGGTGGGAAACTATTTGGCAATCACTAGTTTGCGCATTTCTTTATTTTACTTACATTTTAGCAATACGAGCTCGGTTTTTATTAAATTGCAAGTGTGAGTGTAATTTTTTTAAAGAGAAAAGACATATTTCTAGGACTTTTCCTGTACGTTTGCACTTTAAGGGGACGTCGTACTCCAAAATCTATGAAATTACTGATGTTTCAATTTTTGGCTAAAACAGTACCTTAATACTTTTACTACACTGAAGAGAAATTCTGAAACGATCTGATGATAATAAGTGGTACAAAAAGCGCTTTTAAAAATTTTGAAAGCATTTTAAATGCTCCACATCCTCAATGTTTATTCTTTTCACTTCCTAATTGTTTCGGTAACTTATTAAAAATCGGCGTAAAAGAAGAGGAGTATAATTAAATATTATTGAAATTATCTGCAAACTCAGTTTATGTGTATGAACTGATTTATTTAAATAATACGTGAATCTGGAAAAAAAAATTTTTTTTCACTTTTTAACTGGCAGATTTACATATATTCAGATCAACAAATATTTCCATATGTATTATCAGTCAATTTTGCTATGCTTCTTCAAGAATTGAAATTATTTGTGATAAAACACGAACAGAAAGAGGTGACGTAATGAAAGTGATCAAGCTTCTGACTATAGCGCTATTGAAAATTGTGCTGAAACAAACATTAAGCTCTTCAATTAATTAAAATACACCTAAATTAATTTAAAATACAATTTGTATACGAGACCAAATGGCTAAAAGAAGAGAAAAAATCATACATACTGCTGAGCGGTTTTAAATAAAATATTTTATGTCTGTTCAAATTTAAAATTTTGCTTTTTGTAAAAATGAATAAAACGATAAATTAATACTACCAGTATTGATTATAACCGCTTGAATATTGATTATAAATGATTTAGAAAACATACAATAGTTATTTCTTATATTAAAATTGTTTTCGGTGTGTTTTACAAAACAAAAACACGGGAAGGAAAATTCTATTTGCATTTTATGATATTTTTTGCAATATTTCTGGGCCAGGTACGGTTTTAAATAAAATCTTATAATTTATGTTTATATTAGCCAATCGAAAGGTACTACGCTTTATTATGTATATGTATGTATTGAAATTGGGTAATAAAATTTTTAAGAAATTTGAAATGGTTTAATGACCATTTAGACAGTTTATATTCTTTAAACTTCGTTTTCTTAGTTTGCAATTTTTTGATAAATCCTTTTACTTAAAGTCCTAAAACTTATACAGATATTTACTAGATTATTTAATATTTTTACTGGTTATTTAAAATTATATACTTCATAGAAACAAGGATGATCTTTGCAAAATTCTGAAAAGAAAAATTATTGGAAGTGAAAATGTGATTGAGGTGATATTTTTTTTCAAAATGTTTTACATAAAAATGCGCTTTTATTTTTTTCTCAGAAATATATTCGTTAATTGCAAAATCAATCCGTTAAGTTATTAAGTATAATATTCTCATAAACACAATAAAAATTTGGGGGAAAAGCATTGAAAACTGCAGGAGAAGAAAAACATTTTAATGGCTAAATGTTTCTTCAAAAAATGTAAACATTAAAAAAAATTTACCGGCAAAATTTTTTTTCAGCTTAAATTCATTTAATAATATTAATAAAAACAGGTGAAAGTTCTTAAATAAATAAAATCATTCAAAAGATACCAAGTCCCCTTAATAACGTCAATTGCTAAGAATTCAGAATCTTAACAAAACCTAAGTAGTTAATATATTGTACATCAGTGGATGGACAAAAATATGGAAACACCTTGTGAAATGCATGTTTGAAAAGAAAGATTGATTTTAATGAAAGATGTAGGTGGCGCTGGCGGTTTTGACTACTGACACCACCTATAACTTCGTAAATGTGCTAAACAGTTCATTGTTGTCGGAGTACTGTTATGTGAGTTGTATTGCATTATGTCAGAGTTAACAGACTTCGAACGTGGGCAAATTGTTGGAGCACGTATGGTAGGTGCTCCGAAAGCAGTAGACGAGGTGTTTAGTGTTTCAAGAGGTACTGTATCGAAGATTTATTCCGCATATTTGAAAAGCGGAAAAACATCATCTGCTAAATCACAGCGCGGACGAAGCGTGTCCTGAGTGATTCGTGACAGATGATCATTAAGGCATTGTGACGAAAAAATAAGAAACCCACAGCTGCCAAAAGTTACTGCTGAAATGAATGTTGTGTTTACCGACCCTATGAGTACAAAACATTAGAAGGGAGTTTCATAAACAGGGAATTGCTGGCCGTGCTGCATTGAACCACTCATCAGTGCTGCTAAATGCCCGTAACAGGAAAAGGGTGTGTTTAAAGTCATAAAGCCTGGACTATAGAGCAGTGGGAAGCAGGAGCATTGGTCTGACGAGTCTTCTTTCCCATTGTTCCAACCTTCTGTCGAGTTACTCTGGAGAACGCCATCTCAATGCTATAATACAGAGTGCTGTTGCCAAGATGAAACATGGCGGGGGTTCATGTATGGTTTGGGCAGCCAATCGTGGTTTCTGTTAGCCCCATGATACTGTGTCAGGGACATGACTGCCAGACTTTATGTGAACATTTTGGCCGATCAAGTTCATCCCATGGTACAAACTTGTTCCCCGATGGTGATGGTGTTCTTCCAAGACGACAAAGCCCCTGTCAAAGCTCACATTTCCAGGACTGGTTTCTGTGCATGAGGAGAGTTGTCCATCCCCCGGCCACCACAGTCACCAGACCTGAATTATCGAAACTTTGTGTTACATTGGAACGGAAAGTGCTCTTCCGTTATCCACAGCACATCGTTATGAACTTGCCACCGTTTTGCAGAAGAATGTATAATATTCCTGGCAAACTAAGACTTATTTATCCATCCGAGAAAAATGCAAGCTGTTTTGGATGCAACGGGTTTCTACACATAAAGCAAAGAACATGTTTTTTAAGGTGATTCATATTTTTGTCAAAACCTTTTCTGAATTTTCTGGTATATTCGTTTTGAGGAAGTAAAAAAA